AAGTCTTAGGTTTCAGTTCAATGATATGTCATTGTTGAGCTTATTTGTACAAACCTTCCCCCCTCTTGAACCAAGACTGCTAAGCCAGCAGAGCAACAGGTCATGAGAATAAGAAGCAAAATTTTTACTAATGAATCACTAGGAGTAATGATGAGTGATACCATTTCCATTTTCATCCCTTGATTCCTGGACCTGTAAATCTTGGCTACGGGAGACAGAGTACCATATAGTGGATATGGATTCAAAGCACGTACAGCCTTTTGAAGAACCTTGCCCCAGCCCGGCAAGCTATGGCCACGTAGCTGGCACTGTAACTGGGTCTTCAAAAGACCATTCCACCTTTCTACCAATCTTGCCACTTTTAGATGGTGAGGAACATGTAAGACAAGTGAATTCTATGAGCATGAGCCAATTGCCTCACTTCTTTGGCCATAAAATATGTTCTTCGGTCAGAGGCAATGTTGTGTGGAATCCCATTATGGCGAGTAAGACATCCTGTGAGTCCATGTAGTTTTGGCAGAAGCACTACGTGCAGGGAAGTCAAATTCATATCCACAGTAAGTATCTATGCCAGCAAGGACAAAGCGCAGCCCTTTCCATGATGAACGCAATCCAATACAATCAATCTGCCATTCAGCTGATCAACCCCGGAAGTGGTGCCATATGAAGGACTCAGTGTTGGTCTCTACTGCTGGGGTACTGAGCATTCAGCAGTGGCTGTAGCCACATTGGCCTTGGTGAGTGGGAGTCCATATTGCTGAGCCCATGCCTAACCTCTATCCCTGCCAGTGTGGCCACTCTGTTGAGCCTAGTGGGCAATGACAAGGCTGGCTGAAGAAAGAGGCTGACTACTATCAACCAAATGGGTCATCTTATCCATTTGATTATTAAGATCCTCTTCTGCTGAGGTCACTCTTTGGTGAGTGTTTACATGGAATACAGATATTTTTACATCCTTTGCCCATATGGAGAGGTCTATCCACATACTTCCACAAATATATTTGTTACCAATTTTTCAGTCATGTTCAAGTTCCTTACCATCCAGCCAGACCATTGGCTACAGCCCATGAATCAGTATACAGCCACACATTCACACATATATTTCTCCTTCCAGGCAAAACGTATTTCCAGGCTCACTGCCTGAAGTTCTGCCCACTGTGATAATTTTCCTTCACCATGTCCTTCAGGGATGTCCTGGAAAGGGGCTATAATGCTGTAGTTGTCCACTTGTGAGTGGTACCTGCATGACAAAGAACTATCCATAAACTAGGCCCTAGCCTTCTCTTCCTCTGGCAGCTGATTATATGGTATATACCCTGAGGCTATAGGTGCATGCTGGGAAACAGAAGGTAATATACCAGGAGTAGAAGGTATGGGCATTTGACAACTTCTTCATATGACTTACTTCTACACTCCAGACCTGAGCTGGCTCTATCACACATATACTATTTCCGTTTAATGGTGGACTGTTGCTGTGCACATTCAACCTCATGACTCAGTGGATAAGATAATACCCAGCTCATGATAGGCAGCTCAGGTCACAAGGTAACCTGGTGTCCCATGGTAAACAATTCAGTTTCCACTAAGGCCCAATAGCAGGCCAGGAATTGCTTTTCAAAATGAGAGTAGTTGTCCACAGACGATGGCAAAGCCTTGCTCCAAAATCCTAAAGGTCTCCACAGCAATTCACAGGTGGGGGCCTGAGAGAGACTACAAAGAGCATCTCTGCCTGCCAATGACACTTCAAGTACCATTGGATCCACTGGATCGTATGACCCCAGTAGCACAGCAGCCTGAACAGAAAAGCCTGGGCCTGTTGCAGAGCCTTTTGTTGTTCTAGATCCCACCCCAAACTAGTAGCTTTTTGAGTCACTTGGTTAATGGGCTAGAGAACTAGGTGAGGAATGTGTTACCTCCAAAATCCAAGGCCCACTAGGACTTGTGCCTCTTATTTAGTTGTAGAGTGAGTTAGATGTAACAGCTCATCTTTTACCTTAGAAGGGACATCTCTACATGATCCTTTCCTGGTACCAAAATTGGTATGTCAGTGCTTACTAAATAACCAGATTTAATGAAAAATATACAAATATATAAACATTTATAAGATTGTCTTACAATGGCCACCCACAGAATTAGGCATAGAAGAGTACAAAAGTCTATCTGTGCACTGGAGCCATGCAGGAGCCAGTCAGGAGCCTGGAGCTCAGTGTCCTGTGCAAGTCTATATGAGGAACCTGAAGGGTCCAGGAAGGAAGGGTGAAGGGTCTGCGCTACAAGTCAAGAGACATCGTTCAAGGTGAAGGCAAAGACTGGGGCTCCTCCAAAGAAACAGAAAGCCTTCATTCTTTGTTTCCCTTTTATATCATTCTGGTAGCAATGAGGTGGGTCTTTCACACCCAGAACAATGCTGAGCCAATTTAGTTGGGCACTTTTTACTGAAGTTGACACAGTCAATCAACTGTCACAGCATTACTGTGGCTTTTGTCATTTTCCCCTCCCCAGCATACAGTAGCTCAATCACCTTCATTAGATTAACACACATTATTTATTCTACCATAATAATGTAGTGTAGCTCCTCTTCCCTCCTGAAGATCAGTTTCTCAAACTACTAGCATCCCTATGAGAGAGCTATGTATTATAAATGGTAGGTTTTAAATAGATTTGTGAAATGTATTTTGTTTCTCTATGTTTGAGAAGTTCAGTTCTATTTGCAAATAACTGTTTTACCTTCCAGTTTCATGATGATTCTCAAGTGTAGCAAAGGTCCGTAGAGAAATAAATCTCCTAACCCATCTAAAATGACAGACTTCTATTTGTTTTTGCCATGATGTGGATGAGGAACATCAAGTACAAAACAAATCACCGCATATGTGACTAAAACATCAACATAATCACTTCCAAGCTCCCTCATTTCAAACCTACCTCTGCTTAACCTGGATTACTGCCATGGAAACACAAGTTTTGCTCACTTGTCTTATTGCTTTTATTTACATTAATTGATGGATTGGTGTTGGCTATGTAATTTTGAACAGTTTGACACAGAGAAAAATAACCAGTGAAAATGAAGGTCTGGGGAATAGGTACTGAAAACATGAGCATCAACTGAGCTTCATTGGGAATATGGAAACCAAACTATAAAATGGAAGGAACTTAATATTAGGGAAACATTGTACCGCTGGTGGGAAGGAGTCTCCAGATCACCAAGAGGAACACTGAGGTGGCGCACAGATGTGAACCGGTCTGTTAAGCAGGAAGTTGTTTTCACTTTAGAGCTGGGGAAAGAACTGGGAAACGTGTGGTTATTAGAACTGAGTAGTTCAGGGGCAAGCTCCTATCCAGCTGGGAACGCACCTGTGAGAAATGAGAACCATTTGGCTGGAGCCGATAGGTTTGAGAGGTTGGGATAAGCTTGGATTTTAGAAGATAAAGTGGGAGACTGGCTGGCTGGAAGCAACTGCTAAAGATAGAATGATGGGCTATTACTGCTGAGGTAACGCAAGAAGCAAATGGAAAGGAACAAGTCTGTTCTCCCATACTCCTACCTTCCACACTCTGTAGTGACTTTTATTGATATAACCAATCAGGAAGCCACCCAGTAAAGGATGTGTGTAATTTGTGGAGTCCTAGCCCTAATATTACAAAGCTAGGGCACAGAAGTATAAAGACAGAACAGAGAAGTTGTACTTATAAAGCAACACTAATGAAAATTAAATCAAAGTCTTAAGCCATGGTCAGGGTAACCATCTTCCAGTTTAAAAAAGTCAATGTGATCAATAATATGCTTAATATTTAAAAAAATTAATAATCTTCTTTGAGTTTGTTTGCCATTAGACATGGACTTGAGTATACAATCACCACAGTTGTCATTTGATCATAAAGTCTGAAACATACGTAGCATGGATCTAGGTATTTATATTGGATTTAAGCAGTGAAAAAACAGACACCTGCTTGCCCTTAGAACTTTCATTCTATGCAGGGGAAAAGACAGTAAACACATAACACGTCAGATGCTAAGTGCAATGGAGAAAATAAACCAAGTTAGGGGAATTGGACTTAGGATGGGGCAGGCCCTTTCCTATGGATAGTCCTAAAGGTCTCAATGATAGAGTACATTTTGAACAAAAATCTGAGGGAAATATGAAGAAGTGTTATGACTGTATGAGGAAAATCTTTTCAGTAGGGAAGATTTGCTTTGTTAAATATGAGATTGGTGAATATCATGTAAGTGGTAATTTTTTTGTGGCTCTGCACTTTATTTGTATTTCTGTGATTCTAGGTGGGTAATATCAGGTTTTCCTTTTAAGGAAGTATGGCAAATTTAGACATTCTATAAAGTATTGCTCATGTCTTCTAATGAAGGAAGAGTTATGTTTCTTTACACAGCAGGCTATAAAAAATCTACTGAGGGTAAGGGGAGTTAGCTCAAGTGCACAATACTCTATCTATACTATTAAATACCACCTATATTTCAGTAAGGGATGAAATTCTAAGAATAGTCTCAAATTTTTAATTTGGGTTATTGGAGTAAATGTAAAATGCCCAGCAGTGTACGTAATTATTTCTTTGTTGAAAATGACAACAGTTTTTCAGTTCAGAGTTAAGAATCTCGGTAAGTGGCAAATCGTCTTTGAGGCAGAAAGTTGGATGGATACCATAAGTACTCACTCTCAACTCAAAACAATGAAACTACTGTTAGCCTTGCGCGTTGGTATCATGTTGATTTTTGTTCAGATTGTTTTTTAAAAAATACATACTTTAGTACTCAAAGGTGTCAAAAATACCAATAAGTTAGCTATAATTATTCCTTCAATCTTTTTTGCTGCTCAAATGTGTGAAGTTATCTGTAAAGAAAACTAAGAATGGTAAAAAACATAGTAATACTTCTACATTAAAAGTCTTAAAAAAACCACAGCAATTTTAATCCTTGAAAAAGTGAGTTTTCCTAGTCATATAAAGTAATATTTTTAATTAGTAATAATTTTCAACATAAAAGCTTAATGCAGGTTTGTCTAATTTTTATTCACCTGAGAATGTAATTTGAGAAGGGACACATTTAGAAAGCAAAAATTTGAGTTTCCTTAGTAAAGTTGTTCTTAACTCAGAAAAAAAGATCTTGAGGGATCAGTCAGTGGTGTTTTGGTTCCTGTGCAGGAAAGCCATTACATATGGCTGGCAGTATTTGCAGAGAATTTAACCTCGGTGCCTAGGTTCCTCTAGCTGTTAATCAAAGATAATAGTATCGCTATTTTGGGGGGAAGTAAGCACATGATCTGACATCTCTGGTTGAAGACAGTATATCAACACAAATTATTAGAACACAATGAATACATACACATAAACCACCACAATGGTGCTCTTTAAATACTTATATAACATCTAGACACTATTCTTCCACGCTCTCTTTCATTTAGGTGAGAAACGTGATCATAGCAAGCCACTATTCAATTTTTCCATATGCAGAGAGGAAATACTGTTTCTTTTTTTAAGTTCCAGATCATTCTTTTGAAAAGTACTAAACCCGTTAATTTCTTATGGCCTCTGTGGCAATTTCACAGTAGCCCCCATAGCAAGCCTTCGGTGCTTTTTAAAATGTTGGCTAAATTACTTCTGCTGTACACTGGAACCATCAGGGAAAGGCCGAGGGAATAAAATTGGAGTGCGGTATTAAAATTTCGGTTGTTTAACATTTAACTGAGTCTCAACAACATGTTAAAGTGCTATCTAAACAGATAATTAGCTAGTCCTTGTGGGGGGGGAGGGCTGTCTAAATTTAGCAGCTAAATTAGGTTTAGGGAATGTGAAAATAGGAAAAGAAATGTTCTCCAGGGAAACAGTGGTGTCAGCACAGCTGAGGAATGTCACAATAGGTACATTTTGTCAATTATGATCATCATCAGGGGATCTCCCGGAGCGAAGCAGGACAGGATTTATTCATAAGTGCACCGTGAGGATGGGTAATAGCAAGCAGTGGCTGCGGGAGACAGGCTTAAAGGAGATGACAGCGACAGCAGGCAAAGGAAAGGAGAAAGAAGGGGATGCAGGCAAAGAGGGACCAAACCCAGCAGTGAGCGGCAGGGCAGGAGGCGGAAGTTAAACAGAGAGCGGGCAGGGAGGGGCCAGAACGCTGCGCAGTCTTGGAGATGGAGCGCACACTGTGAGCCCGTGGGCCGACGGTGGGGAGACCCTGGAGACGGGAAGGCGAGGACAGCGCGGTTTGGGGTGCAGAAGGCTTTAGTTCAGCAAGGGCAGGCTCCTCTCCGGGTGGCGGTCCCTGTCCGGCTGGAGCAGCGTGGCTCTGCGGCGGCGAAGGCAGGACCTACATAAAATGAACGGTGGTCAGACCTCAGGGCTGGGGGCGCCCGCCCTCGCCCCCGGACGGTCCGAGCTGTCCTCCCCCAGCGCCGCGGGCCCGGGGCTTCAAGGTCAAGGCACCCGGGCCGGGCTGCGCTGGGCGGACACACGGTCACGGTGGACCACGGACACGCTTCTCGCGGGCAGATGTTTGGGACTTCCCGAGGTCACTTTCCTGCGACGAGTTCAAAGCAAACAAGAAAATAAAACGCCACGTGCGGACACGCGAGTGGCCACAGGCGGCGGCGCCGCGCGAAGCGCCCGCGGGGAGCCGCGGCCTCCTGTTGCC